CAGGTGAACGCAGAGACCTGTGGGACACCATGGCCGTGATACAGGTGGATGGAGAGACCTGTGGGATGACACCCAGCATGTGGCACATATACCAGAGACCCAAAAGGAAGACAGAGCGGGAAATCAGAAAAATTTGAGAAATATTCTCCCAGAAACTGAACTGTAAGGAACAAAAAGAAAACAAACATTTTTAGAAATAACGGTCAAGGCTTCAAAATCTGTTAAAATGCACCCGCCCTCAGGCTGATGTCACTCAGTTCAGAAAACTAGACCCAGGTACATCACAAACTGTCAAAGTCCAAAAAATACAAGAAAATCACGTATACGGTCCAAAGGGATTTCATATTTATAGGGTCCAGCCCTATAGGGTCCTGTGAGCCCCTCCCTGCAGGTGCAGAGACGAGAAACCGTAGAAATAAAAGACACAGACACAGAGAGAGGGAAGGGAGTTCGGGGTCCGCTGCCTGCCGAAGCGCGGAGACCTGCAGTGGCCCCCACCGCCTGGACGCTCTGACTTAATTTACTGAGAACAAAGCAGGGGGCGGGGAAGGTCGGGGCGGTAACGGTGGTCGGTGACAGGTCAGGTAAATCTCGTGTCTTGGAGACGGGGGCCCAGGACTTTCACGTAGCCGAGGTCAGGAGAAAACCGAATGCGTCAGCGCTCTTCATGGATTTGTCAGAAATGCCGAGGACTCTAAGATCACGTTACTATTATTAATTATCTTCTGAGAAGAAGAGAAACCAGGTGCAGAAGCAGGGCGTGAGAGTGGACGTGGAACGTGACCGCTGAGGCCAGCCGCGCGTGGAGGCAGTGGAGCCCCGGGGGTCCAAGGGTCTCCCCGACAGCCGTCAGGCCACAGCGGGAGCTTGTGGGAGCGGAGTTTTCTCCTGACTTCCCCAGGAAGGAGACGTCTCGGCCACTTTGGACGCCTCCTCCCCTAGCTGGCTAACAGCGGGCGCGTCCCCAGCGCGGGCACATACATAGATGAGGTGCCCTCCAGCAGCCCTATGCGGGTGTGACAGAGGGCTTAGGGCATCGTGACTTAGGGTCACTTTGTTCACAGTGTCACCCCAGTCCCACGCTTCATAACCCGAGACTCACTAGCAGGATTAAAGGTTATACTGAGTGTATATCTTTAGAGGTGACTGTAAAATTATATATGATTATATGAAGGAATAACTATGTGCCTGCCTTTCTAATTCTCTTCTAAATCAGTATTTACATGGGAACAGGCTGAGGCTCCAGACCCTTGCCAGAGCACTTTCAGGGTTCTCCCTACATATATTAAGGGAAATAGAAGAATGAGAAAATTCCTCATCAGACAATAGAGAGCAGGCGTGAACAGAACTTTAACACGCCAAAAGAAAAATATTGTCCACTCAGAATTCTGTATCCTGTAAAAATCTACTTCAGAAGAGGAGGAGGAGCCGGGTGTGTTGTTCACGCCTGTAACCCCAGTGGTTGGAAACCAGCCTGACCAACATGGAGAAACCCCGTCTCTACTTAAAACTGCAAAACTTAGCCAGGTGTGGTGACATGCACCTGTAGTCCCAGCTACGTGGGACGCTGAGGCAGGAGAATCACTTGAACCCGGGAGGCGGAGGCTGCGGTGAGCCGAGATTGTGCCGCTGCACTCCAGCCTGGGCAACAAGAGGGAGACTCCATCTCAAAAAAATAAATAGGCCGTCAGCCACAAAAACATATGGAGGAGCCTGAAATGAATATGGAAGAGGCGGCCTCAAAGGCTACACATTGTCCGTGTCCACCACAGAACGTCCTCGTCCAACTGCTCAAAACCAGTGGGAGCGAAACGTTGTCAAAGCTGGCAGAGGAAAAAACCAAGAGAGGACTGCAGGTTTCCCGCGGGAGGCAGGGCGGGCCAGAAGACAGAACGCCTTCCCAGTCTGAAGCAAAATGTAAACCGGGGCCGGGCGCGGTGGCTCACGCCTGTAATCCCAGCACTTTGGGAGGCCGAGGTGGGTGGATCATGCGGTCAGGAGTTCAAGACCAGCCTGGCCAACATGATAAAACCCTGTCTCTACTAAAAAAATACAAAAACTAGCTGGGCATGGTAGCGCATGCCCGTAATCCCAGCTGCTTGGGAGGCCGAGGTAGGAGAATCGCTGGAACCCGGGAGGCAGAGGCTGCAGTGAGCCAAGACTGGGCCACTGCACCCCAGCCTGGGCTACAGAGCGAGACTCCACCTCGAAAAAAAAGAAAACTGCTCCACAGCCCACCCCCACACCTCCAGGCTGCCCAGCGGCTGCCACTGGGTCTCACAGCTCATGGCGCTGGCTCACCGGAGACCCGACTCCCATAACCATCACACAAGTGGTCCTGGCCCCTCTCTCCTTTCCTATCCTCCCTCAGGCCAACCCAATCACCTCCCAACTGGGGGCAGGCCCCTCACCTGCTCACGGAGGCCTCCACACACGCCGTCAGCCTGCCCGCGTCGCCCTCACTGACGTGGAGATGCCACCGACACGGTCTGAACAGCCCCTGCAGAGCCGTGAACAACGCAGACCTCCAGTGGCTTCCACACCAAGAACAAAACTGGCCTCCTGACCCGCGGTGCGCACCCGCCCCGTGCCTGCCCTCTGTGCCCGCAGCCTCTGGGAGCCCAGGCCTGTCACCTCCGTGTCTGCCGTGGTAACTGCCAGGACTCCGCTGAATTTTGGCAAAGCAGGCCCATCCTCCTTCAGGCTCAGCTCAAATGTCACTTCCCGGGCACTGCCCTGACCACCACTCGGCAGACGTGGGCCCCCCACACGCACCCCGGCGTCGTGCCCACATTCCCCTTACGGAGCACGGACGCACGGCCCACCACGCCGTCCCCTCACTGGACCCCTGCCTGCGTGGATCACAGCTTACCCCAGATCGTAGAACAGACGCACGGGCCCGAGGCAGGGGATGAGGACGCCCGCCATCCCGGCCCCACCCAGTCCACCAGCCGGCGCCCTGGGCTTCAAATCAAGTTTAATAAATAAAACAGCAAGGGGGTCAAGGCAGTTATCACTTCACAGTGTGGTCCTTGGTGGGGGTGAGGGTGGTCGAGTCCACTCGGAAAGGTGCTCGGGCACAAGAGGCCGACGGCACCCGCCCACGGAGGACCCCACTCCAACGTGTAAACAGACAGACGGGGGCGGGGAGGACAGGACTCCGAGCCAGCGTGCGGGGCGCTCCCACAGAAGAAAAGCCTGCAGGGCTGGGCAAGCGGGCTGGAGTCGGGCCCGCGTGGCAGCGAGGGCGGCGGCTCCTCTGGGGGCCCTGCCTTGGTACCGGGGGAGGGCAGAAAGGGGGTGTGAGCCACCTGTCTCCTCAAACCCACGTCTGGGGTTGCTGAGGGGCCCCCACCCCAACCTCTCAGGATCGGGGAGCAGGGATGGAGGGGAGGAGGCAGGTGGGGGTGTAAAGTGCGGCTTTTCCTGAAGTGGAGACGACGGGGTGGGTGGCGAGGCTGGGGGGCGCCGGACAGCGAGGTATATGGCTCTGTGCCCCACAGGGTTGGCACTGAGAAGCAGCTGCCCACGACCCCCCGGCTGGGGCAGCCTGCGGCCCTGCCAGGTGTGGAGACGGAGCCGAGCAGGGAGCTGAGGGCGCCCCGGCGGAGGCTGCTGGTGCGGGGCGGGGCGTCCTGCCATCTCCCCACCAGGGCAGCGGCCCCTTCCCTCGCCTCTGCTGGCTGGAGGGGACTAGGCGTCCGGCTCTGCCCGGTGTCCCCAGGGCCGGGTCTTTCTGTCCCTGGCTGCCGGATGGACCCCACGTGCAGGCAGCAGCCTGGACCCGGACAGCAGTGCCGGGCGCTGAYGGTGCTGGGTGTGGCCCTGGGTCCAGTCTGTGTGGTCGGGGGCAGGGGCTCACRGCCCAGCCCCTCATCCCAGTCCCGACGTGTTCTGAAGCAGAGGAGGTGCTGCCCCAAGGCCTGAGAGGGGGGAAGGGGTCAGAAGACCGACCGAGGCGGGCCAGCAGCAGCACCAAGTCCAGTCTGGGCCACACACGCCCGCCCAGGGCCAGGAATCAACAGGTCATCACGTTACAGCTGCAGGGGAGACCAAGAGAGAAGCAGAGTCAGTGAGGCCCACATGTCCACACGGCCTGGTGCCGGGGGCTGACTGAGCCTCCCGGCCTTGCCCCCACCCAGAACCTACACGGTGAGTGTCAGTGACACTAACATGTCCACACGGCCTGGTGCCGGGGGCTGACTGAGCCTTGCCTCCCAGAACCCACGCTGGTGGGAGCAGCCTGAACAAGCCCCTAGAGCAGCAGGGCCCCGTGCTCTGGGGGAGCTGGTGGCTGACGCAGGGGTGGGAGAGCCCGGCGCCTGCCCCGTCTGTGGAGAACGTGGACCACAGGAACGTATTCTCTAGCGGGAAGTGCAGAAATGAAGTCAGAAGCAGAGAAGAAACCTAAAGAAACACCGAGGGCCTGCTGGCGCAGCGACACCGTCCTCGGGCCCTCGGGCAAACCCGCCCCCTTCCTCAGCTCAGCCCGAGGGCTGGGGGGACCTCAGCTGGGGTGCAGGGCAGCACTCACTGTGACAGGGGCTCCGAGTGTAGCCCGGGGGCCGGGCACGTGGGGTGGGCGGCCAGGAAGGGGTTCACGTCCCCAATGCCGATGAGTCCAAACTCGGTGACTGACAAAGCCACCTGGGCAGGGGCCACCGTCTCCTCCGGGTCCGCGCCCAGGTCCACATGGCTGGGGATGAGGGGCAGCTCCTCGGGCAGGGCGAAGTCCACGGCCAGCCTCGGGCTGGCGTCTGTCTCCGGAGCAGCGACAGCTGGCAGGTACGCGGCTGCGTCGGCCGGGGCTGGGGGCAGACGGGGCAGGGGCACAGCAGGGGGCTCGTCCAGCTGTTGTTGGAAGGAACAGGGCCCCGGCTCTGAGGACGGGGGGCCGCCAGAGGCCACTCCAGGCTCACCGAGACCACTGGTTGTGCCATCCACGCTCAGGGGCTCTGTAAGAGAAGGCAGCAGAGAATGGGGCCTGCCCACAGGCACTGGGCCGCAGCCTTGCACGGCGGCTGTGGACCAGGCGGGCGCCCACCTAGCCTTGCTGGGTCCAGCAAAGCCTGTGGACCTCAAAAGAGCCTCTGCACAAACACAAAACAAACCAGTTACACTGACGTCTGTGAGACCCCAGGCTGAGGTCCCCAGCTTTAAAAGGTCATAAAATCACCGAATGGGTCACAACCCACGTCTTTAAAACCAGAGCAGAATACGACAGACTTGGGTATAACGATGCTTGGGGCAGTGAACTAGGGAGCAGGGAGATGTGGGCACCCTTGGGCAAACAACCGGATTCTGGAAATGGGGCGACCCTCCCGAGACTCAACCACTCAACGCAGGGCCAGGAAGCAAAGGGTCCCTGTCTGCACCCCACCCGCCCCGCAGGTCTCCACCCTCGGACATGGTGAGAGCCCCACCCTCGGCAGGCTCCATGGTGGCCTCAGGTGCAAGATGTCAGCGAGGGCTCCGACACTCTGTCCTTCCTGAGTGTCCCGGTGACTGGGGCTAGATCCCCAGCGAGGGGCAGGCAGGCCCTCCCAGGACACCAAGGCCTGGAAAGCACCCCCCGACCATGTGGGGTTCCGCGGGGGTGGGCTAGAGGCACCCCTTAAGCAAGCCCAGGTAAGCACTGTCCGTGCCCTCCCCTTTCCTGGCCAGCCAGGTGCGCAGAGTCACATCCACAACACATGGCAGGCCCTCGACCACCCCTCCCAGGCGCCAGGGACGGGGGCTCCATCAGGCCTCCCAGCTCCAGACCAGCAGCCACCCCCAAGGCAGCAGACGCTCCCCACGCCTCACCCGTGTGCATCCCAGCCAGGGCGTCTGGCTCAGGGCGGGGGCGACCGGGGCCGTCAGGGTCACTGCCATCCAGGTCCTGGTCTGTGTCCCTGTGGGGAGAGGGCGCCATGAAGGGCAGGGGCAGCTGAGAGAAGGGATGCCCCCACCCGGGGGGGTGCCACCCAGGTGCCCACGTGCCCACCCCCGGCGGGGTGGCCTCCCACGGTTACTGCTGGGGAGCAGCTGCACGCACGTGGTTCCAGACGGGACGTACTTCCTCCGGCCGAGCCGCGTCTGCTGGGCAAAGTAGTCGTAGCGCTCGGACTTCTTCCACAGGTAGTAGTACTCCACGCACTCACCCACCGACCGCGTGCGCACCTGCGGGGAGGGCAGTGTCACCTGCGTCCCCTGCCGCCAGCCCCTGCACCCCCAACCCAGGACGTCTCCTAAGACAGCACCCACTGTGCTCAGATAAGGCAAGACCCCCCATGACCCTACTCAGGCCAACGGGCTGTGCCCACCACGAGCCAATGGGGACTTGCAGCGTGTGGCACTGACTTCTGTCCCGAGCCCCTGCAGGGCCCCCCAGCTCCTGGCTTGAGACCCCTCTTTGCTCTCTGTAGCACCAGCCACACACGCGAGTCCTCCAGGGTCCACAGACTCCCGAACAGGACCCCCGCCCGGGGTGGGGGAGGCACAGCCCACGGCGCCTGCTCTCCCGCCAAACACGTCCCTCCAGCGCCAAGTGAGTGCTTCCCACGTGCGCACAAGACACCACAGGACACACAGGTTCTGGGAACCCGACTCAAAATTCACAACGCAGCACGTAAAGACCAAGATGCACACGTCAGGCGGTCGGGGAGACGAGAAGGGACATGGGGCAAGCGTGTTCCACGCAGCACCTGGCACAGAGCTGGACGCACACCTGCCAACACCTCCTGCCTCTCCGCCCAGGAGGCTTGTCCCACAGCGAGCCTGAGGCTGAGGCCCCTGCTGGGGAGGTGGAAAAGACCCCTCACCTGTACATGCCCTGGTTAACTAACCCACCGCCACCAGAACCAGGACACCCAGTGCTCCCCCAGCAAGCACAGCGTGGGGTCCTGGCTGGGAGCAAGACCAAGACAACCTCTCCAGAGGGCAAACCTTACATGCCCGTCATGAGGGAGCTGCCCAGGAAAAGGCCAGGCTGAAATAAACACCGGCTCCCAGCCCCGTTCCAGACACAGCCACGCATCGTGTGCTGGCTACACACAGCCCCCGCCCGGAGCTACTGACACAGCCAGCAACCCTGCTGCCCTGCGGCCACACCCGTCCCAGCTGCCTCCAATCCACGCACCACGTGGCGCTGAAGTCCACGAGGACAGTCCACGGCTGCCGCAGTCACAGAAGAACACCCTGTGCGGCACAACCAGCCCCGGGAGGCGCCTCCTCCCTTCAGAAGGCATCAGGCCCCGGGACACAAGGCGGAAGCGGCCACAGCCACCGGTCCTGAGGGGGCTGAGTGCCCAAGAGGGGCGTGGATAGAGGCAGAGAAGCCACGGGTCAGCCACGGGAAGGTTTTCAGCCAGAGATGTCTGACTCTGGCAAGAGGCTGTGTAATAACCTGCCCTGGGCCAGCATCACTGACCCCATCTTAGCTGTAAACTCCGAGCTTCCCCCTCCCGACCACAACCCCTCTGGGTGCGTGGCTGGACCACGCTGACCCTGTGCTCATCCCACCATGACAATGTAACTGCGTCCTGCCTGGCAAGCACACCTGCGCGGGGTGTAACTCTCTTCCAAGCCCCGCTGGTGACTGTCTGGAAACACCCTCAGCAGCCAACAATCCTGGGCACCTCCTCCGCTGGTTACCAGCTAACTTGCCTGATCTGCTTCTGTAAAACCCTCTTCAGCTAGGCTCCCCCACCCCCACCGAAGTCAAGGTATACAGGGAAGTCAAGCCCCTTCCTCGGGGCCGGGAGATTTTGAGCGTGAGCTGACTCTTGGTCGCCAGCTGATTAATAAAGGACTCTGAATTTGGAACTTGGAGGGTGGCGCGTTTCCTTCTAAGTCACTCGGTTATCACAGCTGGACCTCATCACTCCGGAAGCCACAGGACAGAGGGCATTCCTGCAGGACGTGCAGAGACCCACAGAGGATGAGGCCAAGACCTAGGCAGGGGCAGTGGCCTCGGCACCCGGTAGCACCCGCCTGTCGTGAGCAAAGTTTTCCCTGGGTGGCAGAAGGACCTAGGTCCCAGGAGGAGAGAACCCCGAGGCCCCTGGTCCCCAGGTGTCAGGCATCAGGGTCCTGCTGTGGGGTCAGTGCTGGGCACAGAGCCAGCAGGCTCCTGTCTGAGGACATGGACGTGGAAATGAGGTGCCCGTGGTGCTGGGTGGAACGTGAGACAGACTACCGGAATTCCGCTTCTGACACATTCCTTCCCAAAACCAGAGCCTTGTTCTTTTGGGAACTGGAAGGGGACCCAGAGCAGTCAGTAGAGGAAACTACAGAAGACAGCAATGGGGACGCGGTGAGGAGGCGAACACAGGGCTCAGGCCTGCAGTCAGCCGTGTGCTGTGTGCCTGCTGACCCTCAGCCCCTCCCCTGACTGCAGAGCCCCTCCCCAGATAGAGAAGCCCCTCCCCAGACTGAGGAGTCCCTCCCCAAACCGAGGAGCCCCTCCCCAGATAGAGAAGCCCCTCCCCAGACTGGAGTCCCTCCCCAGACTGAGGAGCCCCTCCCCAGATCGAGGAGCCCCTCCCCTGACCGAGGAGCCCCTCCCCTGACCGAGAAGCCCCTCCCCTGACCCAGGAGAACCCCTACCAGATCAAGAAGCTCCTTCCCCGATGGAGAAGCCCCTTCCAGACAGAGAATTCCCCCCAGATGAAGAACCCCCCACCAGATCAAGCCCTTTCCCAGAAGGAGAAGCACCCCCTGATGGAGAAGCCCCTTCCAAGATGCAGAAGCCCCTCCCCAGATGGAGAACCGCCCGCAGACGGAGGAGCCCCCCCACCAGACGGAGCCTGGCAGGAAGAGGGCAGCGGTGCCCGCACCTTGTTGGCCTGGATCAGGTGAAAGTTCTTTCCGTGCACACGGAAGCCGTGCTCAAAGTTCCTGCACTCCTCTTCACTCCACGCACAGAGCCCATCTGCAAAAACGGCCGGGAGATGGGTCAGCGGTGCCCAGGGCAGGGCGGCGGAGGAGCACGCCCGGGCGCCGCTCACCTCGGATCACCTTCACGTTGAACCGCAGCCTCCGCAGGGCCTCCTCCACGTTGAAGTTGCACTTTACCAACTCGTACAGCGCCTGGGGAGAAAGCGTGTACATTCTTCCCACGGGCTCACCCAGGAGCTGACAGCAAGAACCGTCTTACCCCTCAGGGAGGGGTATCCAGGGTGGACCACACCACTCATCCCCAGTGATGTCAGGGCCGTCTACACCTCCATCCAGGGAGAGATCTCAGGGGTGTTGTCGGGGCCGTCTACACCTCCATCCAGGGAGAGATCTCAGGGGTGATGTCGGGGCCGTCTACACCTCCATCCAGGGAGAGATCTCAGGGGTGTTGTCGGGGCCGTCTACACCTCCATCCGGGGAGAGATCTCAGGGGTGATGTCGGGGCCGTCTGCACCTCCATCCGGGGAGAGATCTCAGGGGTGACGTCGGGGGCCGTCTACACCTCTATCCAGGGAGAGATCTCAGGGGTGATGTCGGGGCCGTCTGCACCTCTATCCAGGGAGAGATCTCAGGGGTGATGTTGGGCCGTCTACACCTCCATCCAGGGAGAGACGTCGGGGGCCGTTTGCACCTCTATCCAGGGAGAGATGTCAGGGGTGATGTCGGGGCTGTCTACACCTCCACCCAGGAAAAGAAGTCAGGGGTGATGTCAGGGCCGTCTACACCTCCATCCAGGGAGAGACGTCGGGGGCCGTTTGCACCTCTATCCAGGGAGAGATGTCAGGGGTGATGTCAGGGCTGTCTACACCTCCATCCAGGGAGAGACGTCAGGGGTGATGTCGGGGCTGTCTACACCTCCATCCAGGGAGAGACGTCAGGGGTGACGTCGGGGCTGTCTACACCTCCATCCAGGGAGAGATCTCAGGGGTGATGTCGGGGCTGTCTACACCTCCACCCAGGGAGAGACGTCAGGGTGTCTACATCCCCTTGCAGAGCTATCGGGACGCATCTGCGCCTCCTCCTCCGATACCTGGTTTTAACTGGCCCCGCCGGCCTGAGTGCCTGTTCCGACGCCCAGCCCCACACGCCCTCCCTGCCCCTCAGCCCGTCCCGCGCACGGCAGCGCCCACCTGCTCACTGTCTTTCACGGTCTCCCCCTCCGGGAGCTGCGGCCCGGCCGTCTCGTGCCACTGTCTCTTCACGGCCCTGTACAGGAACTCCTCCACCTCCCTCTCAGGGAGGACGCTGGGGTCCCAGAGCAGCTGGTCTTCATTCTCATAGACTGCACAAGCAGAGGGCAAGGGTCACACTGCAGGAACCCACTCCGCACCCACACACGCAGGGAGAGGGAAGCGGCACTGTCCCGCCCCTGTCCTTTCCCTGGGGGCACTGTCCTGGGCTTGGTGAGGCTGGGTCCAGGGCAGGCTCCGGGCACCAGACACAGGCCTGTATCCTCATGACCAAACGCAGGCAGCCATGAGCGGTCGTCAGGGGCACCTGATCCAGCCAAGGGGTCAGAGGAAGCTGCGGGCAGCCTAGATCTGGGGCGGGGGACTGCCCAGCGAGGCCTCTGCAGAGGGTGATGCAAGGAGTGACCCCAGTGAGGTGAGGCTTGCTTCAGGCTGCACAGCTACAAGATGCGGGCGCCTGAGGGAGCAGGAAGGGGACCCCAGACTCTGGGTGAAGGCAGCTGGGCCTGCGGACCCCAGACTCTGGGTGAAGGCAGCTGGGGCCTGCGGACCCCAGACTCTGGGTGAAGGCAGCTGGGCCTGCGGACCCCAGACTCTGGATGAAGGCAGCTGGGCCTGCGGACCCCAGACTCTGGATGACGGAAGCTGGGGCCTGGGTCCCGTGGACGAGCGGGAGCCCCCACAAGCACCATCGCACTAAACCGTGGGATCAGAAGAGCCATGGCCCGAATGTGCATCAGCACTGGGGACACGTCCTGCCCCCGGCAGCTGGTACTGGTGGTGGATGGGCTAACAGGGGAGGAAAGGTCCACAACTTCAGACGCAGTCAGCTTTCAGCAAAGGGAGGGGGGCAGCCTCCGGCTGCGGGGAGGGACGTGGCCGGGGACAAGACAGGAGAGTTCGGGGCCAGGTCTGGGACAAGTGCCGGCCCCTCTCGATTATCCACGAAAGAGGCACAGGAACCCAAAGCAAGCAAGCCAACAAATAACAAACGCCATCAGCGCAAAGGGAAGACACTGAGAAATGCACGCGGAGAAGCCGCTCCAACAGGAAACTCTCCACCGCCGGGAGCTGACACGCAACGGCTCCCGGGCTGGTGCTGTGCCCGCAGGCAGGGCCTCTCCTGGTCCCCGCGGGCAGACCCCACAGCCACCTCTCTCTGTCTCCATAGGCACCGCCTGAGCCCTGCCTGGACCAAGGTGGTCTCCGAGACGAGGTCATCTCTGGAGAAAAGCAGCACCACGTGCAGCCTGGCACGTGAAGAGTGGGGAAAATGACGAAAAAACGCTCACGCCTGCAGCCCCAGCAGTCGGGGAGGCTGAGGTGGGAGGACCGGTTGAGGCCAGAGCTTGAGACCAGCACACTCTATCTCCACAGAAAATTTCAAAAGTGGCCAGGCCTGGTGGTACCTGCCTGTAGTCCCAGCCACGTGGGAGGCTGAGGTGGGAGAAGCACTTGAGCCCCGGATGTCACAGCTGCCATGCGCCACGAATGCGCCACGAATGCGCCACTGTACTCCAGCCCGGGCAGCAGAGCAAGAGCTGTCTCCAAATAAAACCGGAAAACATCAGGCCACAAAGCAGGTCTACACAGCAGCCGACACGAAGCGCCAGCACACGGAGACATCTACCTGGGATGAGCATGCTAAGAAAACGGACAAAAAGCCGGATTGTCTCCACAGAGACCTGAAGTTTACACAGAAGAATCTCAAGGACCTTCCGGGGTTGGAAAATGCATGGACCCAGGGAGTAGTTTACCAGCAGCCTCAGCGCAGCACGAGGCCAAACAAGTGGGGTCAGAAAGAAGCCGAGCGCCTACGAAGAAAGAGCAGAGTTTGGGGCAGGCCTAAGACAGCTCAGCAACCTCGGAGACGCGCAGACGAGTCACAGAACAGGCAAAGAGTGAGGCGGCGGCACAAAGTCTGAAGAGATGAGAACCAAGGATTCTTCAAAACTGACGACTGACGCCAACCCCAGAGCCAGGGCGCTCGGGCAAACACAAGGACACACAAAGGCACGTGTGCACACGCACATCACAGTAAAACCGGTTCAAAAAAAGAAGGCCGGGCGCGGTGGCT